GTTGTTACATTGTCTTCTATTGAGTTCTTCCGTTGGCTGATCTGCAGCTTCCAGGTATTAATTGCTGCCTGCTTCCATGTTACACATTCAATCACTGATTCACTCGCTCTTTCAGGGGCCAGCCTGATACAGAGTAGGGCAGTTTGATTCCTGCCCTTGTTAACATTGTTACAATGTATAACTTACTTATGAAACTTAACACATTTAGTTGAAAGGTGAGGAGTATAAAATATAAGCTACAAATGCCATGGCACACAAATAGATACAAATACCAAAATACAAGGGGAGATACAAAATGCGCACACACAAATTTTAAGACACAATTCCTTATCTTAAAGTGAAAGAAAGAGGAAGGAAGAAAAGGTAGAAGAAGAGAAACATATCCAAAGAGGGGAGAGCAAATGCAGGCAAGAGGAAAAAGGGGCTTTCTGCTACAGAGTAACAGATGGGGAAGGGCCATGCTGACCTCACCACCTCCTACCACCAGCCACTTGTATGCCAGGCCCCGGCTCTACCCAACTGCCATGGCCTGGCCACCGCCACCACTCCCTCCCAGGCTGCCCACGCTGCCCGCCACCCCACCTCAACTCTGGGGTAAAGCTGCAGCCTGAGGGGAGCGGTGTCAGTGGAAGGAGGTGAGGTCAGCATTCCCTCCCCACCCTCACCGCCCATTACTCCTCTCGCAGTCTCCCTACCCCACTCTACCTTTTTGTGCTGTGTCCTGGCCCCTGGCCTGTGGAGGCAGCTCTTGCCTGTGCTGGTCTGGCCAGGCTGTAGCCCCATGCCTGCTGTGGGTGCACAAATCTAGGGGGGGCACATGCCCCCTGATATGTCATCTATGCTCTCCAGCCCCCAACCCCATAAACTTATCTGCAGGAGCTGCTCTCTGTGCTGCCTGGCTGCCATGTACATGTGCATGCACACACATGCACATGGTGCCCCCTGTCTGATCGCCCTCCTCCCACTTCCCCCCGCCCCAAGCAGCCCCTTGGAGGCTGCAACTCTACCAGCATTCAAGGAGAAACCTGTGATTTCCTATGCTTTTTTCCTGTAAAGGAGAAAATCCATGATTCCATGTTTTTCAGTGATTGTTCACAATACTTTCATATATTCTTGTGACCCACTTTAAGGGTTGAGAAACACTGCTGTAAAAAAACAGTGCATTTTAATTCTCAGAGGACGTCAAAGTGCAAATTGTTAGAGAAGGATTGCTACAAACAGATAGAAGACTTACATTGTGAGGCCATTTGGTGTGCAGTGGAAATGAGGAGACCGGTGTTTTCATCTCAGACCTTGCACTAGTCTGTACATGACCATGGGGAAACCATTTAACCTCTGTGACTCTATTTTATCCCCACTCCTTTAGGTCCTGGGACTCTTGCTTTATGAGTATACAGTGCTGCACACAATAGGGTTCCAACATCACTTACAAGCTCTAAGTGCTGAAGTAGTAATTGTGGTACAGTGGCATATCACAGGCTACAAAGGTTTTGCCTCCATTGCTACTCAAGCGCCTAACTCATCCATTTATGGTATTTACTCAAATACAGACCAGTTTTTTTTTTTTCCCCTACTCAGTATGGGGGGGGGGCTTTGCCATCTTTTTGACCCTCCTGTTATTTATGTTGGCTATTATTAAACTGCTACTAGAATCAGAATGAAAACCGACTATGAAGTTTATTGAATGCAGCCCATGCTGAGCAGGCACATAAAACCTGGTCCATATGAGGCAAACACACTGATAGGAACTTTTTTTGTGTGTGGCCCTTAAAAAAGGGCAGTTGCTCCCCTACGAAGGAATGAATACCAGGCCTGGAAGTACTGCGGTACCAAGCCAGCACTAGGAGAGACTGGAACAAGCTCTGACACCCTCCCCTGGCGCCAAAGATGCTGATAGGAACCTACCACAAGGCTAGGTTAGTGCAGTCCAATCTGATAAGATAAATGATATGCCCATTGTGCTCAGTCTCCCTCAGTGCCAACTTTTTTCAAGTCATCAAATACATTTTGACTTCATGTTCACTCCCACAGCTGACCAGTAACTTTCTTTCCCATTTCCAATGATTTTGGTTTCTTCCTAAGCCTTAAATGTCTGGCAAACATTGCCCAACTTCTATGTAGCTGAGGCTCTGTTGTCCCCTCTTTCAGTCTGTCACGTGATTAGGGTGGACCTGCCCTCTATGGGGTGAGAAGGACCAGGCAGCCCTGTGCCTCATCTGCATATACATTTTTGGAGGGTCCCAGGATTTGACAGGATCACCCAGTTCCAGTCATCAGTGGGGAGCTAATTATCACATGGATCCTTTGTGGTGGGTATCTGGGGTACACGCACATACTGAGCAGTACTGAGCTGTGGGGTCCCCTTAACTTGAAATGCTGTTGACTCTGCTGTGGCTGAGCCCAGTGAACTATATAAGAAGTCATGAGCCTTTTGGTTCTGGGTTAATATCATGCACAATTTGTACTATATGCAAGTAGATACAAAAGTGTTGCTCAAAAGTGTGTTTATGGAATACCTGCACTAAACTTTGCAGCAATTTGCAACAAGTTAAAATCTATCAATTCTGGACACGCTAAGTCTATAAGTACCTGTAGTAATTTGCATTATCATGGATATGTTTATTTCAAAGTCAGTAATTTTTTATGGTCACTTAAATTTTTAATTTTCAAGGGGGAAAGGGATGGTATGCCTTCCCCTCTGTCCGGTTTCCCCCTCTTACTGTCACGTGCAGCTCCCTTCCACACCATGCCTGGTGAGGGACAGAGCCTAAGCAGGGTCTGACAGTAAGAGGGTAGAAAGGCTGCAGGAGGAAGAAGTGGGGGGCCAGGTCCAAGAGGGCTACCTGACCCCCCCACTCCCTCCAGCCACTATTTTCCCTGCTGTAGCAGTGGGAGAAAGGTGAATTCAAGACAACCCTCTAATAAGTAGATTATATACCTGGAAAATTACAACAAATTTATAAATTCTTTTTACATAGAATCTAATTATTGTGGGGTGGTAGTCTTAAATTCTGTTAAATATACAGTAAGCTGTCCTAGGTGTTACTGGGCTGCCATTGGACAGTGACAGGGGTTGGGACCTTTCGGCTTGTGCTTTAGCCAGGGCTGTCCAGCTTCTGAGGGGCAGATGGGCTGCATGCCTGTGGGCCCCACAACTCCTAGGCCATGCCTCGCCTCCCCATGCTATGTCCAGGGGCAGAAGCAGGAAGCAGAAGCTGGAGGAGGGAAGCCCAGAGGCCGCAGCAGCAAGAGCAGAAGAAAGATCAAGGGAGCGGCACTCAGACCGGGAGTGCTGGATCCCAGGTAAATCAAAGGTGACAGAAAAATGAGAGAACCCTATCTAATAAATAGTGAACCAATGTAAAATCCATCTGTTGATTAATACTGCATAGGATTTTATAGGTCTTTCTGTTATAGCACTGCAGTTTCAACAGGTGGTTTACTATAGGTCTTAGGGTTCAGATACTTGTGTTTGACCTCATTAACCTTTTTCTCTTCCTGATACACTGTTGTCTGAATTGTCCCTGACTGAGCAAGTGCTCTACTCCGTGTATATCCTCCGTGTCCTTCCCTGTTAGTTAGAGTCTGCAAAGTGTTTAAAAAAGGCAGTGTGCATTTGCATTATTATATCCTCTGTGGAGTCTCAGGTTGTATTTGTGCAATTTTTCCTATGTCTGCATAGATGTCGTGTTGCTTAGAGCTTTAATCTGTCCTCAAACTACCTGGTATGTTCCACTTTCATTCAATGCTGTAAACACCACTGCATCCCTGGGTAATTGGGCAATTGTCTGACCTTTGACCCTTTCCATATCAACTCCAGAGGCTTCTTTCAACTGTACAATAACTTATCTTTTTCCCCAAGTAGGCACACAGTAGCATCCTCTCCTATTTTGTTGTCTTTAGTATGTAGATTAAGTGAATCTTCAGCCATATTAACCTTCTCTACCCTCGGTTCACACCCACTACAGGAGGTCTATGAAGGACCTGCTATAATTTTGAAAATATGGGCTAACCTTTGTTCCAAGGCTGAAATCCTCTTATGTTCAGTAATTCAAGATTTTCAGTCATCTCAATATAAAGGAAATAATAATTTCCTTTTCAGTGTTATCCCTTCTATCACATTTTCTGTATGTGCCTGGTGGGACCACATCTCGGAATACTTTTTATCACAAGACTTCCAGTTGCTCAGAATTTTGTCAGATTTTAACTGTTTGGGTTGAAATTTCCCATGCTGGGTGTGTGTCTCGGCCAGAATTTTTTCTGAAAAATTTCAGCCTAAACAGTTGAGATATTTCTCTCAGTGAGATAACATGATTTATTAAAACTTCAAATTGATTTTAATCAAAAGAACCCTTCCCCTTGCTTTACACAAGGGACAGGAAATTCAGTGGAGGATTGGGTAGGATGTACCTCTTCCAATCCCCATGAAATCTGGCTAAGTGATGTGACTCTGAAAGTCAGTTTGCACAGTACAGATTGCTTAGACCAGCGGTTCCCAAACTCTGACAGATTGTCTACCACCATTTTAAAACAATACATTAAGTACCACCAGCAACTTTTTCAGTTCAACCTTAAGTACCACCAACAAATTTTTGTCATATAAAGTAATTATAATAAATCTGTTAATGCAGCCTGTCAGGTTGTCTGCGTGCCACCCGTGGTACCCATACTACAGATTGGAAACTGCTGGTTTAGACTAATCTCTCCAAAGATTTAGCACCAGACACTCCATCTTGGGGCTGCATTTGCAACTGAGGGCTTCTGTGGCCTAAAGAGGACCTCTTCCTCCATGGGATTTTTTTCTCCTGTGCTCTCCATGCGCTGCCGGCACTTCAGCAACAAGGAGGGCAAAGAGCATAACTGGAATGTTGGGAGGGTGGGGAAGGAGAGAAACAGGCCTGGAGCAGGTAGAGTGGCTGATGCTGAAGGGCAGTAAGATGGTATAGACTGGGACTCCAGTTGCTTTCAGGGAAGTGTGCATACACATTTAGATAGAAAGTGTGTGTAGTTATATATGCATGTATATTTGGCTCAAACTGGGGTTTAAAAAAATACATTTAATTCTAACTTGGATAATCACAAGCTACTTTCAGACATTTAAAAAAACCTCCAAAAAACCTGTGCTTTATCAGAAGAAGCAGCGTGTTACTTCAGCCTGGCTCTGCAGTGTCTGTAAAGATCAGGCACTTCAGTGCAGCTTTTTGGTGCTTTTCACTAAAGCTGATTCAATCAGCTATTAGATATAAGCACTGAAAAAGCCCCACTAAAGCACCTGATCCTTACAGACATCAGGTGAGCCAGGTTGAAGTAACATGCTGTGTCTTCTGGACATGCGTGGGGCTCAGCGTAGGAATGTGCTGAGTTTAAATTAAATCACTGGGTTTTGAGGGGTTTTTTTCTTTTTATGTCTGCAAGCACCTATACACTGTACCTTTAATTAGCCTTGCAGTTTCATCTATCCATTTTGTCAGCCTCCCAGATCTAAATAACATAACAGCTAAAAAACACTGCCATGGCTGTGTATAGTAGTGCAATGAAATGATTCATATATAGTTTTGCACTTTAGCCTCCATCAGAATGAATGCTGCTGTAAAAATGTAAGCTGTAATAAGTGAAGCATAACAGCAGAGGAGGAGGTTTAGTTAGGGCATTGAGGGCCAATATTTTTAGCAGGTATGCCACAGATTAAACTTTCACCTTTTCAGAGTGCTACTTGGAGCTCCTTCCTCTGATTTCTGCTCCCTGCTCGATCCATGGTGTGCTACACACATAGTCAGCCTCTGCTATGTGCAGCACATGTGCCACAGGTTGGCCCCCTCTAGTTTAGGGTATTTCAGGAGGGTATATCTAGGAATAATAGTATGAATTAAGGCAGGAAAATGACCTAACAGTAGTAGTAATTACTCTGTAAATATTCTTCCAAGGTAAATAATAGAAGTCCTTTCTTACCAGTCATTTAACAGTATGATAGACTGGACAAACTACTCTAGTGAACTGAGAAGGACAGCCTTGCTTGTGCAAGGGGATGGGCAGTCTAAGCTAATTGATCTTCATCTGCTCTGCTAACAACAAAATGAAAATAGTATTGAAATTAAACCAGGTATACTTTCTGTGGTTTGGCTACTTTGAGGCTTTATGGAAATATGTATTTATTTTTTATAGATGCCTAAATATTCATTTGTCTGCCCATGAGAAGCAAAGCATATTGGTATTTTGTAACATTCTTTATATAATTGTATTTAATAAGCTATAGAATGTCTTAACATAAAACTGAGTAAATGACCATAATTTAAGCTTTGGAGCATAATGACTTTGAAATGGTGCATTAAGAATCTAAAATGTTCTAACTTACAGTATGATAAAAAAAAAAGAGAACTGTTATAGCAGATTTCAGTGTGCGAGATAAAAATGACAACCTGAGGGCAAATCCTATAAAGCTTCACAGGCTTCATTAGTTCCAGCTTTTGGCTTGATTATGCCAGCTTTGTGGCATGGAAACAAAACATATATTTTTTGCAATTTTAATCCAATGCGAATTTTTTAGTTCATCATTAGATTCAGAGCTTGCTGAGAAGCTATGGCTTGTATGAAGGGAGAGACGGGACACAGTGCTATTAATAGGCATTTACAGCTGCTTCTGTAGTTACAATGAGATTTAACAAATGTGAAGATTAAACTTAAATGGAAAAATTATTAATTATAGAAAGATTCATTAAATGTAATGTTTTCAGAGAAAAAAACCTGATCTCATGAGCACTTTCTGCCATAATTAAATTCTGTCAGTGAAGCAATAGTTTATTCACTTAATTTATTTGAAATATATTTAAAGTCAGCCTATACAGTTAACTGCTCTCTACTGCATGGCTATTTGGTTTCTTTTTCACTTAGGTTAGGAGTATCTCTTCAGGCCTGTCTCCTACAGATTGTAGGATACAGAAATCTGACTGCAGAGGTGGAAAAGCTGCGCAGAGAGCCATATGATTCGGAGAATCCCCAGCATGAAGAAATGCTTCTAAAGGTGAGTGCCTAAGTTGTTTTTCTGTGTAATGCTTGATAACTAGTGACTCTTAGTGCATCATCTTTTAGGCCTCTTGCATTTCTACAGATATTTTCAATTTCTCTATAACACGCTAGATTCCTCAATGCAGTGTGTCAAGGTGTTTTGGTAAGCAGCTGTGCTGCACTAACTTATAAATACGCAGTCTAGAAAATATTCTGCTGTTAGGACTGGTTTCTGAGTGTCCGGCACTTAATGTGACAGACTTTCTCATGCTCTCACTGACTTTGGCAGTAATTCTGTTTGGACATATTCAAAAGAAGAGTAATGTTTATTTTCTCCAACATTGTAACAGGGTTTATGTTCAGTTGCTTACCTCAGAAACCAATTTCCATCCCTATTTCAAAAAGCATGTGGTGGGTGTGCAGTTTTTTAAAAAAAGATGTGCATGCACATACGTGTATATGTAGAAAAAATAACTCTGAGTCTTAAGATCATTGATGGAATAGCTGCAGCAGTTGGGCAGCTCTGGATTCCAAGCAGCAGCATAGCAAGCAGGGTTTGCACCCTGGACAAACCCTGCGGTGGAGCTGGGGGGCGGAGGGCACGTAGGTTCCAAGTGTTGGGGAGAGGCAGGAGTCTTACCCAAAACAGTCCCTGGTGGCTGCTGCTGGCGCTGCTTGTTCTACCCATGCCAGCTCTTGCTCTTAAAGCAGCAGCAGCCTGGTGTCTGTACACCTGCTGCTGCTGCTGCTGCAAGAACAATGCTGCTCCTGCTGCCAGGGTGCAGACTCCACCTTGGTGAGGGCAGATTTTTGGTGCCCCTCCTAAGTGGGTGCCCATGGCTGATGCACCTCTCACACCCCTGGTTAATACCAAGGTGCAATAGGAGAAGAACTGATTAGAGTAGTCAATTTTACAATGCTGTTTTTCAGAAACAATGTGGGCAACAATCAGGCCAATGAGAATTGTTTCAGAATCACCCTATGCTTGCTTGGTAAGAAACCTGTGCAGATGCACATACTAGAGCAGGGGTGACCAAGACGCAAACATGAAACCATAGAGACAAGTTGTGCAGCCCATTGAGCTTCTGCCAGGTCCAGAATTTTTGACAGTGTGGAGAGCGATGGCATTGTGGTTTTGGGAGCCACAGCTATTAACGCTGATGTTGCTTGTCCTGGTGCCAAATTTCTAGACCCATGTGGCCAGATCCAGCACAGAGTTGTGTTATCTAGCTGATAGGAGTTCTCATGGAGCTGGAAATTTGGCAATGTAAGGAGCAGTCCACTTTCAAAGTGATTTTCTTGGTAGCCTAAACTCAAGACTCTTGAAAAATCTCACTAAGCACCAGTCTGCATCCTTAAGTGTCTAAATACTTCTAAAAATCCAGCCTCCACATACCTACATTCATTTTTAGCCTGTGAAATGAAAGCGATGTAAACTGATTTACCATCAGAAAACAGCATTTATTTATTCATATGGAATACTGCAACCAAATGTCAGACCAACCTGTAAACAACTGCACTGAGGGATATGGCTAGAGTGGTTTGATATCCATTGCAAGGCATCGTCAGTAGCCTGGTACAGGTCTTCAGTGCAACCATTAAAATAATAAATAGGGCATTCCTCCATGAAGCACACGCTAGAGCAGGGGTGACCAAGACATGGACCGTAGAGCCAAATCATGTACACTCACGCTTGGGTCTTCAATAGAATTCCATGTATGTAGTAGATAGTTAGCGTCTATTATGTTCAGTACAAATCCTGTACAACATTGTCCAGCTCTGTCTTGGTAAGGCAAAGCCAGGAGGTTTAGATGTGGGATCCATGATAATAAATTTGTTAATGATGTCAACTGTGTTCCATTGCTGGATCCATTTTTCCTTGAAGTCAAAGTTTTCATCATTCAGCTCTTTTTCCACACTCTGAAATGGCCTTCTTGACTTAAGCCTTGGCATAAGGGGGTCATTAAGTTCCTCAAAAATTGGTGGTGAATTGAATATAAGCAGTTTTTTGTAGAGTCTAAAAAGTAGCCTGTTTATCAGGAGAGTTATAAGATAGAACAGAAAGCCAAGGAACGAGAATGGAACTGCAACGCTTGTTTGGGGCAGGGGTGGCCTGCCCCATACCACTCTGGCTGACTCTCAACTGAGTGGAACAATGAGACTCATAACAGGTACTTGCAGATGAGAAAACAATTTAAATATTTTAAACAGAAAAATGCTTTCTGTTGTTGAAGCATGGACATGAATATCTGGTTTCCTGTATTCACCTTTCATGTAGCCAGTATATCAAACATTAGTTTACAGCTTTTTTTTTTTTTTTTTTTTTTTAATACGGGCATAAAGAAATGCCAAAGAGCACTGTCTGGGACTTGGATTTGGTTTTCAGTACACACCAGGGAAAATTCAGTTGGCACTTCCTCATCATGTTTAGATATTCTGATCCAAGTAGTCTTTCTAGTGGGAGATTCTGCAAGTTCTTAATGGTTGTTATGTATTTGTGTTTGCTAGGAGGACACTTTCTAAGAATTATCCTGTGTGAAAGACCAACATATTGAATTCTGTTACTGGCTGCATAAGTAAGAACTGGAAAATGTGCCTTAAGCAGCTTGTTCTATTATTACCATGATAACACTGGAAGTATTAAGGCCTACGTGGCTTAATTTTTAAAAGTTGAACAAAAGGTTGATTCAAAATATTTTGTAAGGCATGTTGAATTCTAGAATATGAAGTTTCTAAAACACTATAAATTACAAAGCTTTCCAAGAACCTTTTTCCAGCTACTCAGTTGGTTTAATAAAAGATACCTCATCTACTCACCTTGCCTGCCTAAGTTTTGGAATTTCAGTTTTAGGTATTTGGTGACTTTTTGCACTTCAAGTAGGCTTTTTTCACTTTGTGTGCATACTTCTTGAGACATTGCTTGAGTGTACAGGGAGCCGAAGATTCAGAGATGGTAGATATTTTTAGAGTAACTTTCCTGTTTATGTTGGAATTAAAAAAAATGTTGAAGCAGTTCTCCTGCTTTGATATTGTAGATAATATCCACATTGCCTGCATCTTATCAGGCATATCAAGGGAAATATATGCTTTTCCTGGGTGCCCATCTCTGTAGTATCTAGGAATGAAATCCCCTGTTGATATAATCCATAAACAATTTAAATGTGATGCTTCTAATAAGAAGTTAAATAGCACTGTAACCGAAAATGTTTATGAAAAGAAGCCTTTCCTTTAATTAGCTTTAACCACTTCCAAATATAGTAGATGGCAATGAAGTTAAGTAGGTCTGAAGCAGCTGAGGACTTTGCTTATTAAATCATTTTTCCTTTTTATTTTTGTGAGCCCAGTGAATGAGTTGTTTTTGAATAAAAGTATGAAGCTGAAATATGCTATTCTTGTGTAGATGTTTCTGTTATAGTCTGTTTCTGATTTCCAGTGTAATATTAGCCAAGTCAGCAGTCTCAATTTCTGATAGATTATTGTGAAAGATGCCTAAGAAAAGATTGCTGGAGAACCAAATTAAAAGAGCAGATTGCCTTCTAATGTCAGTGTTTTACAGCAGAATGCTAATATATGACTCTGCTTGTGGATACAGCTTCCATTTTAACAGAAAGTGTAAATGAATATGCCTTGGTGAGGATTTGTACGACTGCTTGTATAAAGTCAAAAAGGGGTTTCTGATGGCCAGTTGCAATTTAAAGAAAAGTTTTTAGGGGGTGGTACCTGGCCAGAGGTTCTAGTTGGTTGACCGTTGCATTTAAAGATATGTAGGATTGCACAGAGTGCTTTATAAAAAGGAAGACCCTACATAGAAGCCTGATCTTTATTTACCTGTAATATTTCTAGTTATGGAAATGTTTGAAACCTGATTCCCCATTGGAGGCTCGCATTTCAAAGCAGTGGTGTGAAATTGGTTTCCAAGGTGATGATCCTAAAACAGATTTTAGAGGGATGGGACTTCTAGGATTATATAACTTGCTGTAAGTATCTATCTATGTATCTACCTATTTGTACTTGAGATCTGAATTAATGGAAGGAGCATTGCAGCTTCAATTCAGATGCTGGTCTTGCAATTAAGCATTTTAGGAATTACGCCTCTAATAAAGACTTTTATCTCATAAAAAGCAGTTGCCAAAAAAACAGTTATTTTCCTGGGATATAATTGTTTCTTTAAAACACACACACAAAACTTTTTTTTTGCAGTCAATGGATCTTAGACAATGTCCATGATTTTCATCTGTAATTCTACTTCCAACTTTGTATTTAGACTCATTATAAAACATCTAATAAGAACAAAAACCTTTCCAATAGGCAAATAGTATTTCAGCTATGGTGTTCTTTGTACTTTGTTTCTATTTTATATCTAATACCATTTAGTAAATATCATTATCTTTTATATAAAGGTGTGTGTTTGAGTTTGCTGCTTTTTTAGAATCTTATTTGGACTGGTTGGAACACAAAAAGTGGACACTATCAGTTCTGTCACTACACCACTTTTTCATCATTAATACTGAGTGCTGAAATAATTACAATAACTATTTATTCAACTATTTGTTGTTGTGTCTGGCAATACAAAATATAAAATTTGATCACTAATAATGATAATGATTGGATTAGATGACCTCCTGAGTTCACTTTCAATCATAATTTTTGATGATTCTAGGATCTCTGCCTCTCCAAACCCTTCTAGCTATCTAAGATTATTGAAGTATTTTAAGAACATTTAATAAGCTAATCTTCCTCATGTGCCTGTGAGGTTGGAGAAATGTTTTTTCCATTTTGTAGACTGAAGGATACTGCATAATTCAGCAAACCTCCTGGCTCCTACACTTGAGTTTTGACAACGATAAGAATCTTACCTATTGCTTTCTGTTTCATTTTGTACTCTGATGGTAGTCATCTTTGCTGACAAACTGAGGACTGAATTGGAAATTTGCAAAACTAAAAGCATGAGCTGTAACATCTTGAATTTTACACCTATGGCCGTACTATTTCTATCCTATTTCTATAAAGCAGGCATATAGAGAGGAACCTTCAACACGTATTCATTAATGGGTTACATTCTCACACTGGTGAGCTTATGTATATACTTTGTTTTCTAAATGAATTATAAGTTGAGCAAAACACCTGACAGTGTTCAAAAGAGCAGGGACTGAGATGTTTACAGCTCACTGTGCTTAAAAAGCCCTGCCTATTTTCACAAATGACACTAAATATTTAAATGTGTGCATCTGCAGATATTTTGCCGAACGGGACACTGCTATTGCTCTGCAAGTTCTCTCTGATTCCCTTCAGCCAAAATACAGGTAATGCTTGAGGCCAGAAATAAATTGGCTTCATAGAAATGCTGTGCTGGCAGTTCTTATTAAACTTGTGTGCTTTAGTATTGTCATATGCTGTCTATCTCTGAAGTATCTTTGTTCTGACATTTAATCGAATTGGAGAGACTGATGGATTTCATGTGTTGAGTCCTACATATGATTTAGTTTTTATTGTTAAATATTTATTTTATTCCATGTTGTTCTAATTTTATGCTCCTTATATTTTTATTTGTCTTTCTTTTAATTCTCTTTCATCTTTCACAATGAAGGGAAGTCACTAAAAAGGACCTAAGGTATTTTTTTTTCTTTTTTTCAGTTTTGTGGAACTTTACATGTAAATAAAGATCCAACCACACTCCCATAAACCCAACATATTCAAGCATTCTTAGATTTCTGTATAAAATTTAAGAGGAACACATTTAATGTATCCCGTTTTCAACCTAAATTATATGGTAGTCACCAAATTTGACTAGCAATAGTATTCAGTTAATATGCATAAGAATTAAAAATTGGTCCTGTTTTTATTGGAGCTAAAATACATAATCTTTTGTAGGTACAAATGCTCAAACACTTCTTATAAATGAAAGATCTGGGAACTTTAGCTTTCTTTTAGTTCTTAAGATTTTTTTTTCAGTTTTTAAACAGATCCTGGTTTCTATGACTATGACTTTCTGGTCATAAGCGTTTGCCAAATAGTTTAGTTTAAGAGTTTTTAGCTTAAAGAGTTAACCAATTCATTGTCAGCTTTGCTGTTTATTAACAGGGATTACCTGGGCATGTTAGTGATTCTATACCAGGTCAGACAAATGATCTGTTGAGTCCAGTATTGTGTCTCTGTGAGTGGCCACTGCCTTAGTAGAAGGTACAAGTAGCTTATAGTGGGCAATTATGGACTAGCCTGGCTGTGCAAAAAGTTTCTTCTTACCCAAATTACTTAAATCCCCTGAAGGATCAATTTTACCTTTAAACTATTAACGGTTCTTATTACAGATTTACTAAACTCTTGTGAACTTCAGGGGAAATAATTTTTCAGTTCTCAGAAAAATTACGCTAAGCGCTTAGACAGTTCAGTACAGAAAAAATAAAGATCTCAATTAAAAACCTATACATGTTCACTAGGTTTACATGGCAAATGGTGTTTGGATTAGGTGCTTGTCTGTATTGGGATACGTCTCAGTGTAGCTAACAATGTAGGCTCTGTGTGTTGAGCGGCACGATTATGCAACAGGTAACATGAGCTCTAGTAGTAGCTTTCACTCATGTCATGTGTTCAGACGTGTTTTGGAATGCTTTGTGTTCTCATGCATGATGACAGCCCTTGAAGGAATATCCACAGAGTTATAATGCATCTTGCGGATTGTGATGCTTTAAATGTTTTCTAGCGTGGTAGTTTAACAGCAGTGTTGCTGTTTGATGTGATGGTTATCAATGTTGTTTCTGTTTTTGCAGATGTGTATTACTTGTCCAGATCCCTGATATTCCATCTTTTATTTAATGTTTTATTTTTGTCATTCCAAGACATCATTGATCCTATGCCACCTACCACTAAAATAAACTACCTTTTAAATTTATTCTTAAAAATGGTGTGTTTCCTTCATAAGTCTGCATATATAATATTTCCTCCTCCTTCCTTTCACTTCTGTTGAGTTCCTTGGAGTGTTGCTTACGCAGTTCAGTCCAGGCAAATAACACCTTTTAGCTGATACTTGTAGTATGTATCAAATATCCTTTTAATAGAAACCTTTCCGTTGTCACACAATAGTTTATAAATTATTGCTTACATTAGGTTTGCAAATTAAGTGTTTCCTTCAGTATCTGTGTTTTAAGTGGCAAATAACGTTTTAAAAGCTGTTCTATATTTCATTGTAATTTAATGTATATAAAATATAGTTGCTTAATATTTCTTAAATTATAGCTATTGATTCAGTCAGATAAACAAAAAGTGTGTTTATTAAGGGGTTTCATCTGTTCAGAACTGCAGAAGTACTACTTTTGCATTTTTTTTCCCAGTGATTCATGTCATGTGTATCCTGGAGAATACCAAAGACTATCACCATCTTTGAGTAGAGCAAAAAAAAGGAGGGTTTTCAACACTTATTTTAAGTTTAAGTTTAGCTGAGGCCATCTGTCTTTGTGGGGTGAATAGACGATAATTGATTTTGAGTGGAACTGTAACCTAGTCAGAGGTGCTTCTCAGATTGCACCGCTGAGAGCGGCATATTGCTGGTGATAAAGCAAGTAAACTAATCTCACTTTAAACGTTTTACACCTATTTGATCAAAATAGGATACAGTCTTTCCAGTCATAGGAGCAGCGAGCTACAAATAGATGGTTTAACTAAACTTAGAAACTCAGCCTGTGCTAGACAGTGTCTAGAATAAACTTAAAAAGAAACATAAATCAATTAGTGGTACATGGTAACATTTGATTTTTTTTTTTTTTTTTTTCAGCCAGTTCAGCAAAGCAGAGTGGGAGAGGAAAAAGTTTGATAAGGCAATTGGGTAAGTTTTAACAGTTCAGTTTTAAAGTTGATAGAAGCGCAACTCCTTCTCAATGATCATTGATTAGATACAAATCTGTCCTTGCATTAAAAATTTTATTTCTTCCTGCTTTAATTTTACTGACATGTCTGCACATACAAGCTTAAGACAATGGCAGGTGTTTTAATCAATGCATGGCTAAGATAGTTAAGGATCAACTCATTGCCTGTGCCTTGCAACAAAAAAATGACTTGTAGGGCACCCTGGAGATGTATGTCATTATATACTCTAATGAAGATCTGAATGTAATGGATCTCACTTTCAACTTACTCACAGACATCAATTCAGGCTTATTTGCCCCCAAAAGTTATATCTGGGAATGAAGAGCAGCATAGCATTTTTAGTTGCAATTTTGACATGACTGCATTACTCGAGACTTACCAAGCTATGACTTTCTAAACTACTATCACTAAGACTAGATTGTGACCTGAACCATAAACAAGTAATATTTTAATACCAGTAGTAGAATATTTCCTAGAACAATAGGGATGCCTTAAACTTCACTTCAGGTCTCAGTGTGTATATCCTCATTTTATTGCTGGCTGCCTCCAGCTTATTTATTTTTTCTGTGCTTCTACAAGGGTTTTGAGACTCGGTTGTTTAGTGACACCAACTCTTCCTGCCCCCAACAAGAAGACTGATGTGATCCTACAACAGTGGCTTGGTTTTCTTAAGCTAATGTTTTTATATGTTAAAGGTTACAAAAAAGAAAGGTGCTAAATATCCACTCAAGTTCCTAGAGGCATGTTTATAAAAGAAAACTAGGGAAAAATAGTTGCCTTATCACACCATATAAGAAAAACGTATTAGCTTCTTCCCCCTTCACATTAGCACATGCCATGATTAGCTTCTGCTGCTTGAGAAATTCTGCCTTGTTCCCCATATTGCCACCCCCAAAAAAGGCTGATTTCCTTTTGTTTGTTTGCATCACAAGTTATGGAATAACTTCATTTTTCTTTGCCCGTTTTGGCAATTATTAAAATGCACCTTCTTAGATAATTGACTTTCTTGACAGTATAATATGTTGTCCCATTAATTCATTTAAAGTTTAACAGAGAACATCCTGTTATAAATTTTATACAACAATCCTTCTATGAACCCAGAGACTTTTAATAAGTAGCCCTTATTCCTCCTCTACAATACTGGATTTTAAACTTCCTAGAGTCACGGAACCCTTCCATATCAGTTCCTTTGCTGCAGAGCCCCTACCCCTGGCTCCGCAGGCTGAGAGAGCTGACATGGAGCCAGGTGACCCAGCCCAGCAATGGCAGTGAACTGCCTTGTGCCCTGCTCTGCCATTACCCCCAACTTCTTTTTACAGAGCCCCTGGTGGCTATCAGGTTCAATAAAACACACAGTGTGAAAACCACTTCTGTACAAGAATGTTTCCATGTTGCTTCAGTGAAAATGACTAGTTTGATGCCTAAACTATTTTTAACATGGCATGGGACATTATCATCTATAGAATGTATGGACATCTTTATACGTGCTCTGGGACGTGGCGATGGGCAGTTTAATTAGTGAGCTGTGCTGATTAAAAGCTCCCATGTGTCATGTGTATCAGCGTCAACATGCATCCCTGTGCTGAAAAAATGGCAGCGGGCACTTTGAAATAAAGCTCTTGGAACATGTTTTATTTCAGAGTGCACCACAGTCATTTTTTCAGCACAGAGATGTGCTGTGATGCTGATGCACATGATGTGGAAGGCTACCGGAATGCATCAATTTCCATGCTTCGGCAGATTTGATCGATTGAGTCTGCTCTGATGCGCTGAATGTCCAGCGTGTTGGAGCAGTCTCCATGCTTGTGTATAGGAGCCCTATTATTCTAGATAGTACATTTGTACTATAATGGATAAATATTCTCATGTGTTATAATTTTAAGAATATCATTAGATGAAAGAGTAAACAGAAGAATTAGCCATAAGTGCTAAATCCATTGTGTATTTGAGTTGATTCTAGTTGCTTAATTTCTTTAACCTTTAAGCATCTAATAGGAAACGCTGGCAACTTCTTACAAGTCCTACTCTTTTCTTCCAGTTACTCTTTTGCTATTGTTGGCATTAACATAACAGACCTTGCATACAACCTGTTGGTGAGCGGTGCTCTGAAGACCCATTTCTACAATGTGGCTCCAGAAGCTCCGACCTTGGCCCATTTCCAGCAAACATTCTGTAAGTTTCCTTTGGATTTCCATTACCAAGTACACATATTTTTATTTTCTTCCTTTCGATCAGGGGTTTCCAAACTGAAGTACATGTACCCCTGGCCTGAGGGTACACGAAACATCTCTGGGGGTACGTAGGAGAAATTTTGTAGTGAGAGATTTAATTTTCATTAGAATAATTGGCATTTAAGGGGTTAAAATATAAAATGCATGCTGGTAGGAATACACAGGCAGCTGATAAATCTGGAAGGGTATACACAATAAGAAAAAGTTTGGGAACCTCTGCTTTAGATCATTTGAGGTTGGTGAATCACATGAAACGCTGTTAGCAGAGCACTGATACTCACGTCCCAATCTCTCATTATCTTTGTAAGATTTGCCCCTTGAAGCATAGTTCTACTACTTGTGCATTGTTCTGCAAAATGGATACATGGTACAATTTGGGGGTTCTGGAGGAGGAAAGGGGGAATCTGGGAGGGCCAAATCAATGTGACCTTCCTATCTATGTAAATCAGTCCTCAGACCATGGAATAATAAGAAGCTAAATGGATTTCAGAGAGTTTCGGTCATCTCCCCATCTGCCCTTCTTACCAAGTTCTGTCATTTACATCCACAGCTTTCCCCTCACCCTTGAATTATCTTTTTTCTTTCCTTTATTTCATTGACACACTTTTCCAGCTCTGTCTCCAGCCCTGTCTCTCCTTGCATCCTATCTGCGGTGCTTAAGTGCAGTGCATATGTGATGGGGAATCAGTACAGGGCAAGGCCTCAAGGTGGTAAATAAGAGTGGTGAGCTGAAGCATCAGGTTGCTGAAATGCTTTCAAAAATGTAGTTTGGCAATAAATGCCCTCTCTATAAATATAGAGCCTTGGGATGGAAAACAGGTCATGCATTATCTGAACTTAATGTAATCGGTGCTTGTGAAGTTCATCTCAGTGCTGTGATGTTGGCAACACCAGAACCAGCCAGCTCACCTCATTTTCAAAGCTTGTAGTAATCCATTTTGCAGCTACTGTTAAGAGCCTTGAAAATGAGGGAAGAGCCACAAAACTAACTAGCTTCTGTGATTTTAAAGACTTCTAATAGCAGCCCTTTGACAGCTGCTTCCTGTTCACTGTTTCTGGCACAGTTAGTTACAGGGGAATACAGGTAGTTACAAAGTAAATAGACAGAGGCACAACTGGATGTTTGAGCACCCTGGGTGGCAGCAGCTCATGGGGCACTGTCAGTGGCTTGACAAAAGCGGCAGTGCAATGCAGCTGCTCTTACCCAAATACACTATAGAGATCCTGTTCCTATTGGACAGCCTTCCAATATCTTATCTCAGTCAGTGAATTGTGAAATGAATTTTAGGTTTAAGGCAAACTTCACATAGAAATGGTTCATCAACAGTGAATCCAAGCATTTGAAATAGCTTTTCTCAGGGACAGAGCAGGTTTTACTTTTTACACCGTCCATTGATTAGTTTCATCAAATAACTTTGTGATGTTCTGTTTTGTTCTGGTAGTGGCTGACCTGGATAAGGTCACGTTTTCTCTTCAGTGTTGTCACAGCTTCAGAGTTTTGCCAACTCTTGTAACTAAGGAGTAATTTTTGCTCCAGCCACCAGGTGTCAGCCTTCTTCCGGCACAGCAGAGCTTTCTGTTCCCACCTGCTGCTGTCCTACAGCTGCTTACTCCACTCCCTGTTTTGTGCATCTATCTAAGAGCTCCCTGGCCAGGCATGCAGAAAGTGTGCATTGAACATCCTCTCCCCTTAATTGATACAGGATTAAGAAGATGGGGTATGCTTTCTAGGATGGCTGAGGTGATAGTAGGGGATTCTGGGAATAGGAGGGGCATTAACCCAGAATGGAGGGGAGTTAACCCAGAATGGGAGGAGTGCGTGGTAATCATCTCAGGATACTGGGGAGTGAAGAGGTGGTGTTTTCTCTGCTCTGTCAGGGATCTGATCGTAAACAAAACCATCATTTCTTTTTTCAATTTTTTTAAAGCAAGTTTCATTTTTAATGATGAAAGGGTAGGAATCAACTTTCTGAATGTTTTTATTCATGGTTGAGTTTGAGTTTGACAGCTCTATATTCCTCCACACTGTTTTCCTTGCACTTTGCAGTCATTCTAGGCGTCTACTGATTGAATACGGCTGAGAGAAACTGAGACGCAGTTAGGCTGCAGTAAATTCCTGTAGGCTGTACATCTCAATTGGAAGTCAAAATTACAGTGCTCAGCAAATACTCATTTTGGGCAAAAGCCCTACAGGTTTTGACTTGTCAAGAACTGGGGCAAATTGTCCTTATCCACACTCATCCAGGCCTCCTGGATTCAATTAGGTTTGAATGGGTGGAGCCAAGTGCAGAATTTTGCCCACTATTCCCACACCAGTGCTGAAATATGTGACATGGTAAGCAATGCTCTAAACTCTACCTGAAGCCCCTTCGGACCTATCAAAAATAATCACACACACACAATACCAAGCCACTCTCCCTGCTGTGCAAATAACAATACCACTTTCTACCTACTTCAAATTTTTAATTAAAGGGGTTTTAGATTTTTTTTTTTTTTCTTTCAGAAAGAAATCTCCCAGTTTTAGGATGAGCATCTGACCGTCCCATTAAAATGACTTAGTTGATCATCTCATCTTGGCATGCAGTGCATAGCTTGTAAAAATTGGCTGAAGTGAAAAGAATAGAATAAGATGTTCTTCCGAAGTACAGACGGAGAAATGTATATAATAAAGGAGTCCTATGATACGTCACTCTGTTATGCTTGTTGGTGATGTGCTAAAATAAATTGATAAGGAATTACATTAAAAAACTCATACGCCTATCTGCTTTTTTTAACAGTGATGGATGTATGCACATGCTTAGGGTGTGTAGACTTTCAGTGTTTTGCTGAATCAGAATAAAGAAAAACCATTTGGATATGTATCTTGTTACCCACAAGCCATGCTGTTTCTTGACACAGGGCTTTATGCTGGCAATGGTCCATGTCCAGAACACTGAGGGAAGTGATATAGGAATTCCAGATGGTCACAGAGGGAGCAAACAAAAATAAATCTTAATTTGTCTTGTTTATTCAAAACTGGCATTTTTCAAGGCACACATCAGAAAATGTTTCTAAAAACCATTTCCCCTGTGCAAAAGGCAGTTTTCAAGGCTAATATCTCATTTTTGCTCTTGGCCTTTGCCTAGCTTAGGTCATCTGTAACAACAATTTACCAGAATCCCTTAATTTGTTTAAAAATACATAAGTGTAATATTATTTGACTGTATCTTACACGGATCCAATCTTTATGTGTTGTTTTTAAAGTGCATGTTTGAAACATACATTAAATTGTGTTACGTTAAAAAGCAAGGGCCTGTTCAATAAATGTTTTATAACAGACATTTCCCTGGAAGCTGTTTTTAATATGAGCCTTGTTTCATAGATGAAAATGAAATAAGCAAAGGAGACTGGGAACAGACTTGGTCTTATTAATAATGCCAGCTCTCTTTATTCTTATACTCATTACTTTTTTCATGTTAAAGTCTATTTCATATTTTACTTCTCCAACCAAAAGTTAACAGCTCATTAACTGCATGTCAGCAGATGAGAGAGTTACTAATTGTATTTACTGGAAAAAATGAGTAATAAATAAATTGGCAATAATTTAAGTTTGTTAAAGCTTTTAAAAAATGCTTTCCTAAAATCAGGCTCCAATTCAGGAACAAATCCCTAGCCATTAAAGCTTTTTAAAATACACAATTAAATATTATCCTGAATTGAGGCTCCAATCCTGGTGCCTTCCTGATTAGGAAGTGAATTATGCTAATTCTATTTCTGTTGCTAACACATCTTTGCAAGTGACTTTCTTTAATTACTTCAAAAAACACCTTGAAGGCATTTTTCATGTGGGTATGCTCTGTTCCTTATTTTCTTAATATGTCATGAAATACTTCAGACTTGCCCCCACACCTCAGTGTCCATTATAATTTCTAATTGCAATGTTTGCTGTTCCCTACATAAGAGGGACCAGCTTTTGCTACCTTCTAATTTCTTAAATATTCAAATATCTTTTATTAGGTTACTTGATGCATGAATTCCATAAATTCTGGATTGAAGAGGATCCACCGGACATAATGGAGTTTAATCGTGTGAGAGAGAAATTTCACAAGCAAATCTTAAAACAACTCCAGAATCCGGATATGGCTCTGTGCCCTCACTTTGCTGCCTCAGAAAGCTTAATCAACATGTAGTCATTCAACTGATTTGATTTGAAAACACTGCCTCACTCTTGTATTAGATCACAGTTTAGACCATCACTGACATGCTGAATGACCATGGCGATTGTATGCATGCTTTTTGGTGCATTATTCATCTATTTTTGTCATAAATACTAGATCCCCTGGCACTTGTCTTTCCAGGGGGTTTCTCATTAAACGGGTGCTCATATTGCGGCATTATGCAGTGTTACATTCTGAATTCAGTGTTACATTCAGGTATTGAGAGTTTTCTATTTTTTTAAAATTTTTCCCATAATTTCTCATTGAATTGTATTTCTCTAGCTGTGTTTTGTATATGTGGAATCATTAGCTGGATCTTGTACTGTGCAAGCTTTTTAACTTATTGATATGTTTTATGACAACTATTGACATTTCAAGCAAAGTACATGTTTGGACCTTATCTAGAAGATAATGTATGTAACCTTAATCGAATGCAGACAAACACATTAAAGTCTAGATTTTTCCATGCAACCATACGTGCTTCATGAAAAATTAACGAGGCTTATGAGATACAAACTTCAGTGGGAATCAATTTGTTTAAAATATGCAGAATTTCAATAGGACTCCACAGCTGCATGAATCCCAAATAAGCTGAAGACTTTATTGCATTTATAGTGAAGAGAAAATACATTCATCATTACTGAATACTGGAAGGGGTCACCTTCATAAGAGGTTGCATAGGGCGAGGACTCCCTCAAGCACATCTAAATTCTGGTGCACTGCTTTGGAAATGAGAGGGTTCACATTTCGCATATCAGTGGGTGACATGATTTGGTAGTGTGCTGCTTGGCACTTCAGGGGAACAAATAGAAAAAAATACAGAAATGTTTGCTTTGTGGTGTTAACTCTGCTCCTAAGAACTGTGAGAAATAATTGAATGGGCAGGTTTAGAAGAAAAACATAATAGTTTCCCAAAACCGCTTTAAAAATATAGGGAAAATTGATTTTTTTAAAAAGTGTCTGATGCTCTGACGATGTGTAGCATATGGAATAGTATTTGCCATGGCATTTCATACCCATGGTATTTTTTTACCTTCTAAACAATCAATTTTAGTATTAGATGTTTGTGTAATCACTTGCATACTGAGATTAAATTTTGAGGATTGCTCAATGACTTGTGAATTATATGAATAAATTATATGTCATTCTAAAGAGGAAAAGAGCGTGGATTTTATTTCTAAGATATGTAATAAAAAATAAATGCTTCCCTGCTTCCATGGGCCAAGTGGGAGGGGTTGTAATCAGTTTAGAGGTGCCTCTCCTTAGCAAATGTGAAAAGCAATTAGGGCCTGGTCCAGAGCTCCTTAAAGATTTACTCTTATGCAACTCTTACTGTGGACTCTGATATGTTTTGTAGCAGACTCTTTGTCAGAGGATCCCAACACTTTGTTCATGAAGGGGCACTTGATGGGTGGGACAGTTACGCTGGACATCACTAACAAAATGAGTCTGTGATGTACTACCTTTATGTTCACTACATGTAACATAAAATGCTTGATATATACAAAGGAGAATCACATGGCTGCTGCTACGGTTTATCAGTCAGTTACTACTGAATTGCCAGTGGATACAGCCTGGCCAATCAACTGGTTCTGTCAAGGGTTGCCACTATTAAAAAGGCCATTTGCAGGCCACTTAAAGGCTCACAGGCTGTGAGTGGCATATGGGCTACACTTCAGAAACTCCTGCCCTCAATTCTATAGAGATGGTTATTCTTCCAAATTGATGTGACCAGACACAGAGGATTAGCTTTTTCAAAAAGGCTCTTGTATATTTTGATGCTGTCATTTCAGTGCTTCACAGAAATATGGATCGCAGCTCCTATTTAGAGGTAGATCATGCCATGTTTTCATAGGCAAAACTCCAACTGGCATTGGGATTTTTCTCCAGTGACCTTAGAAACTAGATAGAATCAGAACCCCCAGCATCTCTTGCTTATAAGATATACTAAAACAAAGGAAATAAGATGATGTGCATTTCTGATTATTTCAGAACTTGGTAGGCAGCAAGTTGGAAAGAGGCTGCCTACAACACTAGAATGAGTATTCATACCTATACATATCAGAACCTGCTTCTGAAACTATTTTTTTTTTCTGCATCAGTCTTGGGGTAAGCAAAACATCAAAAGTAGAGGCCACAGCTATAATTTTTGTTGCTTTCAAACTCCACTTCTTCCCTCATCCTCAGTCTTACTCATTTTACAAAACTCTGAAGTTCGGGTTGAGTATCTTACTCCTAGTTGCAGCCTGTTGAAATTTTAAAACAAATTATTTAATCTTCTATTTGAATTTATGTGGGCGAGAATCTAGGTCAGCATTACCTTTTTAATGGTGTAACCTTCACAGCACTAGTGTGTCACATCCCAAGGTACTGTGTGCATTTTAGTTCAGAGGATAGTATCTAGTTTATGATCACTTAAACCGGTTTATGTGTAATGTCTGTCCCTAGCCTATGGGTCTGTTGCTTACCTCTGAGCTTTTCAATACATATGAGGATGTCTTGCATGTGTAAAATGGCAGACTCTTCCCATTGAAGAAAGCAGCACATCTTGCCACTAATTACAGAAAACTGAAAAGCCTTAAAAAGCCTAATCCCTTTGCGCTGATGTTGCTGTTTCACTGCTTGCATTTTTCTTCATTTTTCACTTTGTTTATAGTCTGTTTCAGGATTTCACAGCAGCAGTGCCAGTACTTCAGGAAAACATGTTTGCAGACACAATAATGAGTTTTTATTAAAAAAAAATTCAGATTTTCCTCTCTAAACTGTATGTACAAAATTGGATTTTATATATTCAAATCTATTACATATATTCCAGTTTTCTGTGATTACGCTGATGTTTCCATGAGACTTAATTTCCTGGGTTTTTTTTTCCCAGCCTCACTGGTGCTTCCTTCATGGAACTGAATGTTTTTGTCTTGCATACTCCTTTATGTAAAATAAACAATGGGGGTTATTTATTGATAAACCTTTTGCTTAAACTTCTTTATATTGGATGTATTTTTGCTTAATGTTAACTCCTCATCATGAGCAAGAGGGAAGGAAGATAGAAACATTTTAAGAAGCAGTTTCATTTTGCCAGATTTGAATGTTAACAAAATTGGGCTTATTGTTTACTAAAGCAATCACTGCTTTATTCATGGCATGCAGAAAAGTTAAAGTTGTAAAATGCTAATTTTGCTACCTGTTAGCGGAAGTGAGCCTTCGATTCAAGTTCTATATAGCTATTGAGAGCATGTATAGCTCTACAGCATTCACCCTATCAATTAGAACAACAGGTTTTTATGGTCGGAAGGGATTGTTGCAAACATCTACTCTGACCTTATCTGTAACATAGGCCATGGAATTTCAACAAGTGAAGTCAGAATCTCCAAGTTAGTGGCTATTTGTTAAAAGCTGTTCAAGCTTAGATTCCTATACTAAATAATGCACTAAATATGATCTGACTATGACTTGTGTCCAGCTAACATTACTTGAGTTAAAAGGATGCTTAGACAGAACCCGGAGACTATTGCCAAGTGCTCTTGAAGTGCACCAAAGAGCTGTGAAATGAGTGTATCCCTGTGAAGCTTCTTTCCACTTTTTCTCCATCGGTAGATGATTCCAAGCAGCTTTGTACTGCATAACATAACCTTTCTTGGGCTCGCACACACAAGAATAACCGCAGCATTGAAAGGTTTAGTGTGATGATGTGATGCTGAAATGTCAGCACAGATCTATTGATAGATTAGTAATGGAGAGCCTTGTATGTTAAGATGACTGTCACTTGTTTCCAGTGTGAAGGAACAGAAGTTTCCCAAATTTCATGCTACAGCATAAAATCTTTGACCCAAATGCATTCTGTAGTGATGTGAATTAAAATTATTTTCCGGACTATTAGGGTATTCATTGTCAATGGGCAATGAATTCAGCACCCTTAAATAATCATTTCTATATTGACTGCTATGGAGTTGTGACAGATTATGCAGGCTGAGGATCTGCATCCTTCTTGTTTGATTATAAGCGTAAGTGGGGATGTTGCTATTGTTAGCATCAGCCTTTCATTAGCTTTTTTTTAGGATTTTATTAATCTGTTTTTGTTTTGCCCAATAGTCAGACGGTTATTTTCACTCTTGACTATTGCTAATGACACCCTGCCCCCAACTTCTGGAAGGAAATTAATTTATTTCTCTATTACTGGCATCAGTCTAATATTGATCAAAATAGAATGTATTACTTGTCTCTGCTGCATTAAGTCTTGGAAGCCTATCCCACTTGGCTTCTTCTCACGGTAGGCTTGGATTGCAGAGCTATATTGGAGAGTTGCCTGAACGGGTTGGCGGAGGAGATGTTTCCTTCATCAACTTGAGCAATCAGTTGATTCTAAAAAAACAGCCATGATTGTGCCATCTGCCCAAAATGACCTTGCAGGAATGATGATAAAGAGGAAGCTCTGGCTGGAGCAGTGCCCTGTTAATGCTGTAAAATGAAATTACTGCAGCCTTTTGGAGTAGGAAGTGTGGCTCAGACTGTGGGGCGTTGGGAGCTGGCTGTGATCTGGGATGGTGAATGTATGTCGCTTCTTGCTGTTGTTGCTGAATCGAAGGGCACTTTTACACATGCTCCAGGAGAGAGGAGGGTGTTAATTAGAGTGGCTCCAAATGCTGTTCTAATTAAAGCACTGCAGCTTCTCATGTATCAGCATCCCCATGCTTCAAAATGGTGGCGGGGATGCTTGAAATGAAGCTTGTTCAATGCAGGAGGCTGCTGGTAATTACCACGCTCCAGCAGTCTGCTCTGATGCACTGTAATTACAGTGTGTCGGAGCAACCTCCCAGCACATCTACAGGTATCCCAAGAGACTACCAAAGATGTGATATGCTGCCCACTGCTCCTTCCCACCTGCTTTGGTTATGTAAGAAGTAGTGGCTTTGAAGAAGTTCTGTTTCCATTTCTGTCCTGTTTGGGGCATAGTTAGTGTCACTTGTCACAATGCAGTTTTCTTTTTGCCTTTTATTTTATTATCTCTATGAGAACAATAATCCTGTTGCATGCTGATCCACAGTTGGATATCTATGGTTTGCTCTGTGCGTGAGCTGAGGAGTAAATGGCAAGTTGTACCCAATTCTACCTTGTCTGTCTATGTAGGGAAGCTATAGATCTTGATTGCCCCTATGCATGGTCATATTAAATCAAAGGCTTCCTCCGTATCTAGTACAATTTGCGAGGTGGGTATGGTTTGCTTCCCCAAATCACCCACCTACCTGTATCCTACAGAAGGCTGTGTAACAGCTGGAATTGTGAACATAAGACTACTACTCCTGGAAAGCTCCCCCATTGCTGATCTGCACAGTGTATGGTTTAATGTTACTGTATAGAGCTTGTTCCAGTTTTTACAGGTCTATAACTGCCTAAATGACTTGCAATTTCTTTTTTAAATTGGATTTTGGTCAAATGTGAGTCGGAGTTTTATACTAATGAAATCTCTGGGCTATGTTAAGAAAAACAGTGCAGAATGTTTATGTATGCTGGTGGAGGGTTTGCCTGTGTTGGCTTCTCAGTACAGCTAAAATTCACATTAATTATTGAAACAGATGTTTTGCAGAAAACAGTCCTAAAACACAGCAGATAAGGAATTAATTATTCATTATGTTCCTTATTTTCTGGCTATGCAGGTTTTATATAAGACTTCCAAAAATTAGATGGGAGTTCATCTAGAGTTTGTAGGAATATGCTGGCATTGGTCATATGCATTTCCCTGTGAGCTGAATGCATACAAATAAGGTCGTTACTTATTCTAGCAAAGCCAACATTCTTTTCAATCTATAACTGTAATTAGAAAATACAAAGCCAACCATAAAACCCAAGAGCAAGCCTCATGTGAATCAGTCTGTCAGACCACTCTTCCCTAAATGTGGGCAGTAATTCTCTGCCCACAATGCAATTCACTATAATTGTTTTCACTGCCCAGGAATTGACATAAATTTGCCCTATTTCAGTTAGAACTATGCTTCAGTCAGGGCTATATCAACTCAGTAAGTGCTACTGGGAATACATCCCTCTTCTTCAGTAATATAGTCTATACAAGTAATCCAGGTGTTGCTGTCCCATAGTCAGTGCAGAGGTCGTGTGTGTTTCTGTTAGGTATAACAGCACACTGAGAGTCACTGGTAG